TATGAAGTACTAATTAGAGAAAAATCTTTTTAACTACCCTCAGCTACACATCCAAATGCTGGATGTTTTTTTCATTAATAATAATTGAGGAGTAAGATTCTTCAGAGAGCCTGTATACTATTGAGGATGCCTAGCTGATTATGTTAATAGATGGTACAAAAGATGGATGGTTTTTTGAGGGGCCATTTCATAAAATGTATTTTACTGCAGAGTTGCTGCCACAAAGAGTCCTATTATTTTTATTGGAACTGGAGAACACATAGATGACTTTGAACCCTTTAAAACACAGCCTTTCATCAGCAAGCTGCTCGGTATGTATGTACTATGTACAGCTATACTTAAGACTCTTTGAATTGGATAATGGAAAGTCAAAGTGTAATTTTTTTAATATGAATTTCAGAGCTGTTTTCCTTTTCCAGGCATGGGTGATATCGAAGGATTGATAGATAAAGTAAATGAGTTAAAGCTGGATGACAATGAAGCACTCATAGAAAAGCTAAAACATGGTAAGTTATTCCCAGGCCTGAATAGCACATGCATTACAGTGATGCAATTGTGGCAGGGTTTCTGTGCAGAGACCACCAAGTTAATTTCTGTTATGTGTAGACGTAAAAAACTTTCTCATGTGCCCAGTGAAGAATAGCCATTCTTTCTCTAGTACAAGTGGCAGTCAAGTAAACTGAGTTGCGTTTTTTGAGTGATAAATCTGTCAGATTGTAACTGAAGAATAACTAGCTTAATGGTTCAGCTTGTGCCATCTTAAACTGTTTATCCATGTTAGTGGTGAAGAGGTTTATTTATCCATTTATCTATGCAGTATAGTATTTAATCTGTAAAAATGAAGATAATTGAGAAAGGAGAGTAAGACCAAAATGCCAGTGTGACTTCTGCTAACCTTTTTTTGTTGTTGTTGTTGTACTTTAGGTCAATTTACGTTAAGAGATATGTATGAACAATTCCAAAACATCATGAAAATGGGACCATTCAGTCAGATCTTGGTTAGTTATCCCCCAAATCATTTTATTTTGTCAGATTTTCATTGATATTTGAGAAACTTCTGTAAACTTAGAACTCTTCATTGAAACTGGTGTAATAGTCTGTGCTATATGTTTTTCAAAAGGTGAAATTTGTTTACTGCAATACATAACTGCTGAACTAAAAGTTGCCGTCTGTATTTGTCTGCTTAATTAAAGTTACCTTTGCCTATTCTGATACAGCTTTTCTTTTCCATTTTTGAAACAAGGGCATGATCCCTGGTTTTGGAACTGACTTCATGAGTAAAGGCAATGAGCAGGAATCAATGGCCAGGCTAAAGAAACTGATGACTATAATGGACAGTATGAATGATCAAGGTAAAACAATTATCATGGACTATTTTTCTTTCTCCGTTGTTGAACAAGCTTATTTAGAGATCTTTTTGGAAACAAAAAGTCATTGCAGCATCTGCTGTGGCAGAAAATGATGAGAAATAATTAAGACCCTTAAAAGTGGCAAGGAGTACGCATGTCTCCAACTATCTGAATAAGTCTAAATATTTAGAGATACCTTAATGACTGCCTGTTTCTGCTCTGTCTTGTGTAGGGTAGGTGGGATTTTGAAGCATTCTATTGGAAATTAATATATTTTTATTTTTCATATTTTAACTGTTCTTAAATTATTAACATTATACTTGCAAATTAAAAAGCTATCTTAATCTTTAAACTGGCATTACTGTATTTTTTCCTAACCCCTCTCAGATTTATTTGATGATATAGCCTGGTCTCTGGAATTCCAAGTGTTGTTTCTAATCCACTGATAACTCCTGCAGAAGTATGCTCTTACCCTTGTGCTAAACCCATTAATATGGCTTATTGTCTGAATAAATTATAGTCTCAGCACACTTTTTTCTATCATGGTGATTAACATATGAAGATAACAGCTTTTTAGTATTACTTCCTAGAACATTATGTCTCAATTATGTATTTAAAACTCTGCATTGTCACTTCTAAAACTAGTTTCTTTTGTTCTCTGGCTCAAAACTAAATTCTCAACTAGGAGAACAGGTTTGCTACCAACTGTAACAGTTTTTAATGTCAGTAACTCAGTGTATTTTTCTTTTTCACATTCTAATTGCAGAACTTGACAGTACAGATGGTGCCAAAGTTTTCAGCAAGCAGCCAGGAAGAATCCAAAGAGTAGCAAGAGGTTCAGGTGTTTCTACCAGAGATGTTCAGGAGCTTTTGACCCAATACACTAAGTTTGCACAGATGGTGAAAAAGATGGGAGGCATCAAAGGGCTTTTCAAAGGTAAAAAACCCCAACACCACAAAACCAATCAACCAAAAAATAAACCAACCAACAACCCCTACCCTCCCCCCCCCAAAAAAAAAACAACCCCACAAACCCCCAAAAAACAAAACATAAAATTTATTAACATGGTGGAGACATTACTTGGTGTGTGAACACAGAGAAAATGTGAAAACATTGACTAGGGAGAGGAGAAAATGAGTTGTAGCTCACTGGTTTTCATGATGTTTGAAAACTTTTTTATGTAACTGGTAAGGCCTGCACTGTTTTTCATGCCACTAATGTGTAACTTAGCAGGGAAAGCCACTGTATTTCTATCAGTGTGGACTTGATTACTACCACAGTACTAACACTGCAATCTGTTACGTGGGGTGCAGGGACTGTTGATCCTTAAAGTACCTTTAAGTGGCGGATGTAGTAACTTCTGATAATGGACTCATGGGTTTGAATCTAGAATTAGCCCCATATGCTAATCTACTCTTTTTTTTTAGGTGGTGATATGTCAAAGAATGTAAACCCATCTCAGCTGGCCAAACTGAACCAACAGATGGCAAAGATGATGGATCCAAGAGTTCTTCATCATATGGGTATGTGCTGACGTTTTATAGCTTCAAGAGAGGATAGTTATGGCAGAGCATTTGAAATAGAGAATTGAGGAATGTCATATGAGAATATCTGCATTATATATCAGTATTAAGTATTTCTAAAACTTTCTAACAATAATCAGAAAGTTTAGTCCAAATGGTCTGCACTTACCAGTGATTAATCTAGTCTTTCTGTTTGGATTCAACTCCCAAAATGAGCAATTGGAATGGTGTCTGGGAATAGTGATGACTTGAGGTATGACTGTGGTAATGCAAATCTGCCTAAACTTCCTCTCCCTTCTTCTAAACTTTGCTTCAAGTAATTAAATTTTATAAGAACAGCTTTATTTAAAGACCCTCATACTGGAACCTTACTAATCAATACTGGTTATTCCTTCAAGGTTTTTTCTTTAGTTCTTAATGCACAGGTCATCTTAAAACCTACTTTAAACGTGGTGTTTTGCAGGCCTTTCTGTAACTGGTCAGTCAGTTTTTTACTTTCAATAGCTGTTTAAGCCTAGTTAGTCTTGGGCTTCTGTATTTGTATATGACTGAAATAGTGTGTGTACTTTAATGAGGCCTCGAGCAGGAGAGCTGGGCTTCAGAGTTAACACATTATGTTCTCACTTTCTGCAGGTGGCATGGCAGGTTTGCAGTCAATGATGAGACAATTTCAACAAGGTGCTGCTGGCAATATGAAAGGCATGATGGGATTCAATAATATGTAAAGAAGCCTTAATACAAATGGACTTGGTTGACTCGTCATTGCAACTTCAATGAAAGAATTTGCTTTCTTCCTTTTTACAGTGATGAGGGAGTGGTCTTTTGAAATCTTATCCAGGCTTCTCAGTTTCTACATCTAATTTCTGAAAACTATTTTTGCTTAAATTAGTTCTTCTCCACTAATAACTGATGGCACAAAGAGTAATTCAATTTAATGAAACAAGATCATGATGTAAAATTTTAATATTCAGAGACACTTTTTAATTGTTTACATCAAATGGCAGCCATTATATTTGTAAACAACCCTGATCTTTGGTTATAGTAACATGAAATGTCACAAATATACTGTAAAATAAAATGTAAGTGGTTATAAACAAGGGAATGGCCTGTTTTTTCAGTTGTTTCTAACTGTCCTTTATCAGTATGTAATGAGATGATTTCCTTAGTTTGATTTGTTTGTAAAGACTGTTGTAACTCATGTGTGGCATAGATGCTGTAAGAATAGTTTGGTGTCTGAAAATCTGCTGTTGGTGCTCAGGTGTGGACCATTTTTGAAGGTGGATGTGCTGTGCTCACCTTTGTACAAGACTTTGTTCTACAGAATTTTATCATTTTTTCCCTACACACAAGGAACAAAGTGACTGAAAAAATGCAGGCATGCAACTGTCTCATACTGAAGAAAATCTTCATATTGTGCTGCTAATTAAGCAGTTCTTTTGTTAATGAGACAATTTCTGATACATCACAGGTGCAATTCTGTGCTGGTACTGAACTTTAAAACAGAGATAGCTGTATCTAAACAGAGCATATTGCTCCAACTCAGCTACGATCTAATCTTAATTTCCTATAGCATGTCTTTAGTATTTCAGTTCACTGTGTTGGTCACAAAAGGGTAGAATCTACAAGCACACTTCAGAAACTGTGTAGACCAAATGAAACTTGAAATTTTGGCAAATATCCTTTACCCTTAAAGAAA